CGTGCTAAAAGATGGTTCTTCACATTGTCATAAATCCGCCTCCAATAAGAATTCAATTCATTATCCAAAACTTTGTTGGGCCAAAACGACCACTGTTTCTCTTGGCATACCATGTTCTTCGGCTAAAATGGCTGGAGATCAATTGAGGAGGGGTTAATCAGTGTTAATTGAGTATTATTACAAGCCTGGCAGGATTCTTAATATCCCATCCTCCCTCTCTAGGTCATTAAGACACTTTCTGGCACTTCTGTCGCCGAAGTTATTTTTACCATGGCCAATGGCCTGGATACCTTCCAAGGAACTCTTGAGTGGGTACTGCTATGAAATCGCATTCATTATAGCCTATGACCATTTTATTGATTCAGATCTTAATACCAACAAAGGTTAATCGGACTAAGTCTAACTATTCTATAAATAAACATGGATTTATTCAGTGCCTACTTTACGTTAAAGAAATTCGCAAAAAAGTTTTGTGCCTTACGGCTGCAACTAAAAGTACGACCTACACCTTCGTTTACCTATGTCGATTTTCCACTGGCGCTATGAGGAGGCACTCTGTTGTAATCTTCTATACGGCATTCTGACAAATCATAGCTAGTCACAGGCCGGTCTATACATTGTAAACCAAACTTTTTGACCTCACTCTGTCGGATAGCGAATTTAGGATTTTCTTCATATTTTTCAATTTGTCGCGGATAGCTGCGTCTGCACGGACGACTTAAAAGCGAGCTCACAAATGTTGAGGTAATTGATATTTGGAATGCTAGATCCATCGACTCAATGATTTCGGATTTAATATATTCTGAAATATTCCAAACGACTTGGAAGGAAAGAGGAAAAATCACATTCATCAGTCCTTAATCCTTTTGCAACCTTGATTGCATTTGGCTTTCTTATACGACCGCATGTCAATTATAATTGACTGAGGTGTAACCTATTTTCCTCTAAAGAAGAATGCCAGTATTTTTTTCTCTATCTGATATTTTGTGTATTTGAGCCAGGGAGATGCTGGACCTGAATTCGCCACTTTAATTTTGCCAAATTTTACAAAAGACTTTATATTCTTCAATTATTATATTTGGTGATACTTTTTACTGATTTTTCGCAATGACTACCCCTAATGTTCACCTGAATTCAATTGTTTGTTTCTTTTTAACTTTTTTCGCCATATTCCACCAATGCCGGCTTATTGCATAAATAAATATAAAATGCAAATTATATATGTAATATTTTCAAAATTCCTATTAGAAGTCCCGACACATACGTATTGGAATTGATTTTGGCATTAGAAAGTGAGTCGGCGACGAGACAACAATGAAGGTTTCGCTCGCTTCACTGGTCACACAAGTGGCAAATGGCGGCTGGCCTATGCACTGGCTATTGTCTTCTTTTGTTCGTATCAATTCCCATTACAAATACAAACATATGTACACCAAAGTGTTAATTTTGCCACAACTTCCGCATGGGAATGCGTTTGAATAATGAAGCCACAAGGCAATTTGTAGGGACAACATTTGTTCCCAGCTGTTGGAAGATAAACATGACCAGGCAAATAAACAAACCAACAATTCAATGCAATTTAATGGCAACAACGGAAGCCAATCAAGCCGGCACTACATCATGTCGCCGATCAACCCACCGCCCGACCGACCAAGCGAGCAATCGCCCATGCAGGCAGGCAACACAAAAGACAATGAACCCAAGAATGGCAACTGGTCTACATTCTTTTCTGCAGTGCCTGCTCTTGTTCTTCCCCTCCATGTTGTCTTGGGTTTGTTTACATTTGGAATTTGGGAGTTTGAAATATTAAATTAAATATCCATTGATCCAAACCAAGCTAAAATGAATTTCGACTTATTTAATACATTCTTGTTTTGATCTTTAAACCTCCAAAAATTTTTGCTTACCCCTTGACTAAAATTTCCTCAAAAATGCTATGCACCCATCCTTGCCACTCTTCCAGTTTGCCAATAAACAATATTATTTTTTAACTTTGTGTTCTATCTGCAAGATTATCTCAACTTGTTATTTTTGTGTTGTTGTTTTCCATTTAATTCCTTATTTTCATATCGCAGCTATTGTGCACATTCGAAATTAAACAAAAACCAAAAAATATTGTATTTAATTTCTACAGTTTTTTGTCATTTGACCATCTTTCTTCACTTCACTACGAAATTCACTTCGATTCCCACGTTTAGTTTCTATTTTTAAACTCTGATGTGTATTTACTCTGTAAATCTTTTGGCGTCCCTCGTTTGCTCTTTCGATCTCGCTCTCTCTCTCTCTCTCACACACATTCAGTGTAAGCGCCAATTCCCCCCACTCAGCTATTGCTGTTCTCTTGTTTTCAGCTGTATTGTGGACATAATGATGAGATGATAAATCAATATTCTCAAGAGAAATGAGAGTAATTTCCTTGATGAGGGGCAAACATGACGTTTAGTAATTGGAGGCAAACTGAGAGCAACAGCTGATGGGGATGATGATGATCTTTCACTTAATGGCGTTTGCACAAAAGGTGATTTAAATCTCACCGTAAATGTGGCTACATCATTTTTATTGACAAACAATTAAATCAGATATGAATGTAAAAAGAAAAAAGCACAGTGGGACGTTGCAATAAACAAATGTAAATTAATTTGTGCCGATGGAGCTGAGAAATGAGGATTTATTTCAATGGCCATAGATAACACAAATTTAAAGCGAGACAATTAATTATTTAAACTGGTGTTGCCAGATGTAAATGAGAACTAATGCATTGGTAACGACATGAAATATAAATATGAGGGAATTTGTTGGTAGAAAGTAATGCGAATAAACCCGAAAAATTAAATATGAATGTAAACAAAACCAACGAGGTCTAAAGAGGAATCTGCCAAATATTTTTAGCTTACTAGCATTTTTGCCAATTACTACGATAATAAAAACAAGTTAAACGGAATCAGTCTGGTATTACCGACAACAGTATACCAACAGCCAATGTTCGGTTATTTAAATATATTTTGACTTGCGTTATGATTATTCAAACTGTTGACCCCTCATAGGAGGGGTTCCGCAGGAGTGGGCCAATATTCTCCATTTCACATATTTACACAAGTGGAGAATAACTTATCACATTCGAATTTTTTCGACTACTTGCTTCACTTTATGTGAGATATTTAATAATTTTTCGAAAAGTTCGCGTTTTATAAGAGTTATAATAATTTAAAAATTTGACCCGTTGTTGGGGAGTTGCCAAAATGAGTAGTCCTACATTGTTCATCCTCACAGCACATCTTGTGTTGATAGAAATATTGGGATGTGGCGAGTTTGAAAATAATCGGATGCTCATTTCGCGTTTTATGTTCTTAATGGTTATTCCAAATTTTGACCCTTTGTAGTTAGAAGAGGTACTAGTAGGAGGGGTCCGTTCAATCTGTTCTTCATAGCAGGCCTTGTGTTAGTGGAAATATTGAAATGTGCGAAATTTGAAGATAATCGGAGTCATAGTTCAAATTTTATAAACGATATAATTATTTAAAATGTTGACCCTTTGTGGGGGTGGTACCAGAAAGAGTGGTCCGATATCTACCATCTTCATACCAGATCTTGCTTAAATAGAAGTATTGAAATATGTGACATTTGAATATAATCAGAAGTTCAATTCGCGTTTCACGAGCTTTGTGGTTATTCAAAATTTTGGCCCATTGTGGGGAAGGTAACAGAAGAGAATACATATATATCCCATCTTCACACCAGCTCTTTTGTTAACAGATATATTTGAAGATAATCTGACTTTTATTTCACATTTTACAAAAGTTATAACAATTCGAAATTTGGACGCTTTGTGGGGGAGGTACTTGATGGATATTATCCATTTTAGCAACTGACCTCGCGCTGACAAAAATATTGGGTTGCGCTAAGTTTGCACTAAATTTAATGATCCTTTCTCCTTGGATGAGTTAAATTATTTTCTTTGAAAATTTTGCCCTTTTGTAGAGGAGGTACCAGAAGGAGTGGACCGATTTTGCCCATCTCGATCTCGATCTAACTTTGACCATAATATTGCGATGTACCAAGTATGGGCGAAATCGGATACTCCCTTCCAGAGTTATCGTGCGCACCAGCCATACAGACGGACGAAACATAGCTAGATCGACTCCAACTGATTTGGTCCAAAGAGTTTAGGGTCTAAAACCGTTATTTCAATGAGGCATGGTTTGGCCGTATCAAATGATATATACCCTCTCTAGCCATATGGCTGAGGGTATAAATATAGTTGAAATTATTGGTTGATGGATTCTGTTTCGAAACGAGCCCTCAATAACTTAAGCAAATTCATAAAATCTAGCCTGCTCTTAATTAATGCAGAGTTGGGCTTGCTCATTTAAATTGTATTTACCTTCTTAATTCTACCAAGCTTATCTCTACAAAAGCAAACAGATTTTTGGAGAAGCTATTAATTTTTCACGATCTCCCAATTAACCCCTACCACCCTATTATACCTACAAAAGACATGCATATTTCAAATGATTGACCTTAGTACCGAAATATTTGCCAATTTTTCTCTTAACATGACCACTGTACCTACCACACGATTACGTATCTGGTCTTATTCACAGTAGGTTGGAATACGCGTGCCACTCTCTCCCTCTCTTTTCCTGGTCTTCCCACAATTATTGTAGGTGGCTAATTTGGCTATTTGCTCCACATATGGCCTTTTTTGCTTTTGGCTTTAATCAGAAACTTCTCGCAAATGCTAGATGGGATATTAACAAAAAAAGACAAAGAAACAAAAGTGTAACACTGCTCTAGTTTGACATAATTTTGAGCAAAGAAATTGACCCAGACATCAGACAAAACAGAGAGCGAGAGCAGCAAATTAAAGAGAGAGCAGGCACACTCTCACACACACTCTGGCCATCCCCAATTGGATATATTTGTGAGTTGACAAAGAGAATAGGAGACTCCCCGTCATTCATTCACATTCGTGGAGCAGTGTGTGTTTGGGGCTATTTGTTGTATGGCCAAGAGCACAGGCCTTCAGTTTAACTAGTAACGTTGTAGCGATTGGAAGTGCTAATGAAACCAAGCGGATGTCTTTGGAAATAACGCGATACGGAAACAAGTAGAAAAGAAGAAAAAAAATTAAAAGAAACGAAAACGGATTTTTGAAAACAGCAACAACAATAACACATAAAATATTAGCAAATGAAATATATGTAGGTTTATGGTTAATATACACACATATATACGAACGTACATACATATGTACATCTATTAAAAAAAGATTTTCAGACGTGATTAGCTAAGTAATGAAAATAGTGGCAGAAGACATTTGCGGGGGCAAAAACGAGTCAAAAGACAACAGCAACAACAACAACAACGGCAACGTCAAAGTGTTAATGAAAGTGCAAAAATATCAATAACTCTCCCATATCCAGTATCTGCGAGTGCCGATGGCAATGTGTGTTTGTGTGTGGCTAGCTGTGTGAGTGACGTCATATCAACGCAAGAACAGTGTCAGCTGCCGCAGTTATAATTCTTCGTTTTATTAACGAGTTTCAGAAGATCTGCACAAAGATTTGAACTTAAATCTGGTTAAATACCAAGCCATTAGATAAGGTGTTAACGGGCGTAAGCTTGTGTGTGTAAGAGTTCTCGCGAAAATTTTTTGTTGTGGAACACGAAAATTTGCGACGTCACAGCTATCAAGGTGAAATCAATACAAACTTATTGCCAGCTACCAATACGTACGAAAGATCCACATCTCAATAAAAACGCTAAGTGTTTCGTTTGCTTGCTTAATACCCATTTTTGTTTGCTTTGCTGTGCTATGCTGTATCTATAAGTACGCGCTTTAGATTTCAAAACGTAACCAAACCAAAAAAATTCATTTTAGAACAATTTTGAATTTTGCTTTCTTTTTGTTGTTTTCAAATCGAATTTCACACACACACACACACTCTTCCTGGTGTCTGTCTAACGATTATACAATACTCTTTGCATCCTCCCCTCTCTTTGGCACTTTGATGGACTCTCACTCTCTTAAATTGAAAGACAATTTCCTTGGCCAAACAAATTTCCGCAAAACAAAAGAAACGGATACGCGCTAGACAACTGAGATTTTTGTTCGAGTGTTCCTAGAATTTTCCACCAATCGCCCGAAAGAAAGAAGGTGGCCGACAGTGAGAAACGAACAGCGAGCAGCGAAAACGGTCAATACTAAAGTTTTTTTTTAAACGGCGAATTTGCTTTTAGCCATTTGAACGAGGCGAGATAACGAAAAATATCTAATAGAACAAGAAGAAGAAGAAAAGAACGAACGGGAAAAGAGCGCAGACACTCAAACACACATTCAAGAAAATTCTAATAGAAATCGAAATAGAACAGCCAAACAACGAAAAAATCGTCCCATTTTCTTTGAACAAACAATCCAGTGAAACAGTGATTTTGTTTTTGCAATTCTTTGCGATTAAATGTAATTAATCTTTTCATTGTTCCAGATAGTGTACGAAATTGAAAAAAAAATAAAAAAAAACAAAAACAACAAAAAAGTCAACGAATTAAATAGCAAAAAAAGGAAACAAAAATTAAATTATAACAACAGAATAGAAAAGAAAATCATGAAACCCACTGTGATAGCCAATGCTAATGCATCAGCATCAGCCGGTCCCGGTGGTGCCAACGGCACCAATGGCGGCATAACCATACCAATCAATCACGAATACCATGGCCCACCACCAGCAGCAGCAACCCAGTCACAACCCCAACAATATCACACACAGGCCCAGCATTTTGTGGGCGGCGATCCACAGGCAACGGCATATGGATCACCAAGCAGTCGGCAGCAGCAGCAACAACAGATTCCAGCACACTTCCAGGTTGGTATTTGAAATTATTTTGAATAATTTAATCAATACAATGTAAACGTTAGATTTTGTAAATGGGTTTATGGTAGTGAAGCATGTCGTATCCTAAACTTCTAAATATTTGTGAGAGTAATAAAAATTGTTCTCTTTCGAGCAAGAGTGGAGAGAAAATTTAAGAGAAATAAAACAGTACCCATGGTAGAAAAATACAGGTAGATGCATCAACGCTTGAGAACATCGATATGTCAAAAAAATTAAATTTCTTTTCAAATATAAGTAGATTTTTATATGTTTTGTTATACGACGTCATTCGGAGGTTACTATAATACACGTTTTCAACAATTTTTACAAATTTAAATAATTTTCCATTCAACATTTTCCATTCCAAAATTGGTTTGACAGTTCATTGTCCCAGCAGCTGTGTCGATGCGTCTACCTATATTCTTTCACCATGACAGTACCTTTAAAATTTCCACGAAGAAAGTTAACCCGACAATAAGCTGTAATGTAAACCTACTATAATAATGTACAGCTGGTAGAATAATGTAGGTAGTGGTATCGACACATCTGCTGGGACAATGAATTGTCAAACCGATTTTGAAATTGAAAATGTTGAATGAAAAATTATTGAAATTTGTAAAAATGGTCGAAAAATGTATCTCGTTACAACATCCGATTGATGTCGTATAAGAAAACTCATAAAAATCTACTTATTTAAAAAAAAAAACAAAAACATTTTAAAAAAATTTGACATTTCAATGTTCCCAAAAGTTAATGCATCTACCTGTATTTTTCTACCATGGGTTTAGGGTAGTGAAAGATATCGGATCCTAAACTTATAAATATTTGGGAGAGTAATAAAAATTTTACTCTTTCAAGCATGAGAGGAGAGAAAATTTAAGAGACAATAATCAGTAAACAAAACTTTAATGTACTTTTACTGTTTGTCGGGTTTAGTAAACCCGTCAAATAAATTCTCATGAAGGAAGTTAACCCGACAAAAAGCCCTGATGTAATCATACTATAATAATACACAGCTAACCATACAACAGCTGATCGAAACAAGTTCAAAACACACATGCAACAGTTAACTGGATATTGCTCTTCAACATCTTTCCCAGAGAGTAATCTAATTTTATTCTCTTATGTGAGAAATCCTCTCAATCCCTGCAAGTAATCAGCAGATTTGTCATAAAAAGGAACAAAGCAAAAATTAAAATAAAATTTCCAAAAAAAGAAGAGTTTCTCATTTTTAAAATTGCTCCCCAAACTCTTTCTAATTTATTGGATTTTTGAGTTATTCGATAACTAAACCTAACTATTGCGATATTTCAGACATACCTGTTGTTGATATGGTCAGAAACAACTGTTCTAAAATCGGCGGATCAATATTTTTGAGGTTCATAGCCTGTACACTTTTCAAAAATACGCTCTATAGTTAACCTGACTTTCGATAAACGAAGGAGAAACAAATCATTTATTTTAGAAATACTTCGTCATCCAACACATCTAATGTGTGGCTATAAAGAATCCAAATATTAGACGCCATTTCAATAATTTTGGAGAAAAATTAACAAAAGCTTAAGATTTTATCAAATGGGTATAGTGATGTATAAGGGGACCCCCTTATGGGTAACAAAATAACGAGTTATATTCCCAATAGCCTAGACAACACCCGGGCTATAATGGCACAACAGGGAAGTGCAACAAATTCATGTTGTCTTGTTTTTTTTTTTTTTTTTTTTTTTTTTTTTTTGGAGTTTCCTTGACATGCTCTCCCAACCTTCTACCTCCCACATGCTCCCCCACATCTTCACCTTCAGTCTGTCTGTCTACTTACAACAGACAGCAGCTATAAACGATATGATGCAATAGTCCACGACACTCAAGGCCATTTGTCATGTAAAGCAACAAAAGCAACATTCAGCAGCGATTCCGAGTGTTTGTTTTTATTTATACTTTATTGTTGGTGGTGTTGTTGTAAAATACGCCGCGCCACTGATGCGTGAAGGTCGTTCATTGGTCGTTGGGTAAAACAACATGTTGCCAACAACCAGTCGCCAAAGGCAGGCAGGCTGCCGGCCAGCCAGCCATCCATCCAGTCGAACATTTATACCGCATCATTACACATTGAGATGTGAAGTACGTATTTTTTTCCATTATGGACGCATCTCGCCTAGATTTATCTCCAGCACACAGTGATGCACACAAACACACACATACATCTCTCTATAGATAGCCTGTAATGGCATTGTTTGTTTTATGAATCGGAAAATGTAGCAGCTGAAGGAAAACAAAATAATTGTCAACACATGTGGAGTTATTTTCACAACAAATATTTCCTTTCATATTTTTTCACCTTCAAAGTAGCCTTAAATGTAAAGAGAGAGAGAGAGAGAGGGAGAGCGAGAGAGAAGAAAGGATATGTGTACCGAGATATACATCTTTTATCTGGGAAAAGTCCATAGATCTTTTCGAAGATTAATGGATCCTCTTTTAAAATTTCTATGGATCATGTAGATATCTTGATCTTCCTATTGGGCATATGTGGATTCTTTGAATCGAAGAAGTGTGGATTTTTCCTAGATTTTCTTCTAAATCGTAATAGAACTTCTTCAGTTAAATTTGATGGAAACATAGAACTAGATTACGGCCTCTGGCCTCTTTGGAATACTTTTTGTACCCTACACCACAAGGTGGTTAGGGTATTATGTCTTTATGTAACATGGAGAAGGCAGCGAGATAGACCCATAGTTACTTTTGATGATCTTCACAGAATCACTTTCTGAGTCGATTTATGCAAGTCAGACCGTCCGTCTGTCCATGTATTCTTGTGAACAAAATGCAGGTCGCCTTTATTATCCGATTGAGATGAAAATTTTCAAACAATATTTGTTTGGCCCAATGACGAACCCTATTGAAATTGGTGAGAATCGGTGTAAATTTAGATATAGCTCCCATATACATATATATTCAACCGATTTTGGTTGATAAATTTTGGCACATCCGACCGAATTCAGTCTAGAAGCAATTACATAAAATTTGGAGAAAATAGGTTCAGATATAGCTATAGCTCCCATATATATGTTTCATCCGATTTGGGATTTTAAATCCCTCACATGCGTAATGTGTATTCCACAAGAGTGATATTCGACATCAGATACTGCTCGAAAATACCTCTGTCAAATTTAATCGAGATCAGTTCAGATTTGGATGTAGCTCCCATATATATCTTCAACCGATTCCAGGTTATTTGTGCACCAAATGGCCAATATCCATCCAAATTACCTGAATTTTGGCACATCCGACCGTATTCAGTCTTGAAGCAATTCCATCAAATTTGGTGAAAATCAGTTCAGATATAGTTGGAGCTAAAACTATATTTGAACTGATTTTCACCAAATTTGATGTAATTGCTTCTAGACTGAATTCGGCCGGATGTGCCAAAATTCATATGTTCATGCGATTTGGGGTTTTATGTCCCTGACATGCGTAATATGCACTCTACAAGAGCGATATTCGGTACCGGACATCAGATACTGCTCGAAAATACCTCTGTCAAATTTAATTGAGATCAGTTCAGATTTGGATATAGCTCCCATATATATATCTTCAACCGATTTCAGGTTTTTTGTGCACCGAATGGCTAATATCCGTCCAAATGACCTGAATTTTGGTACATCCGACCGAATTCTGTCTAGAAGCAAGTATATCAAATTTGGAGAAAATAGGTTCAGATATAGCTATAGCTCCCATATATATGTTTCATCCGATTTGGCCTTACGTCCCTCTCATTCGTAATATGTATTTGGCATCAATGATATTTGGTACCAGATATCTTATAGAGCTCGGAAAACCTTCGCCAAATTTTACCGAAATCGGTTAAGATTTTAATATAGCTCTCATATATATCCTTCATCCGATTTCAGGTTCATTGTGCAAATAATGGCTTATATCAGTCCATTTTTAATAAAATCCTTCTCGAAGTAATATCATGCTCTCTACAGCATTGCTATTTGTTATAAAAAAAAACTATCTCCGTCAAATTTAGTAAAAATCGATTCAGAATTGGATATGCCTCCCCTATATTAGTTCTCTCTGAAACCAAACTATAACTGCTCTAAAGCCAAATGTTGATAGGAGGTATAAACTACTTCAAATAAATTATTTTGTTACGGGAGCTCTACTAAATATACATGGTGGTGTAGGAATTTCCCTTACTGCTTTTCATTTAAGATACTTTTTCTACTTTAACAATGTTGAATCCTAATGTGCCTATTTTAGGAAAAATGACATGACATTTTCCCATGGAATCTCGTAATTTACTTTTGCTTTCATTATTTCGTGAAATGGAAAATTGCACTCACTATTTATTTTATGGATATTTCATCATATGCAAATATATAAAATATTTCGTATTTGAACGAAAGATTTATAAATACCTACAATGTGTGCATTAACACATTTTTCGTCTATTATTCACATTGATATTTTTATAAAATAAATAAATAAATATGTACGTATCTCACTCTCTATCTCTGATGGTGTCGATAATTTTTTCTTCATCTCGGAATGATATAAACAATGAATATGAATATGCGAAAATTGAAATTGCAAAATTTTGACTTCATTTCCCAAATAAGAAAAACACCTACAACAAGAATTTTGAAAAATAATTTGTTGACGAATTCAAAGCGAAACGCATTTCTTGGGGATATAATCATCGGCAAATATACATGGCTACATCAATTCTCTTAATGCCATAATAAAACAAATTAATTAACAATTTTTTAAATATTTATAAATATCTTTTTTTCTTCTCTTTTATTTTGGAAAATCAACAACACCATAAACAATATTTGCCAATTTATAAATGTCAAAATTCCAGCATGAGGCCATTTATGTTTTCGTTTGGATTTGTTTAATTTAGCCGAGGTTTTTGTTTTAAATTCGCATTTGTTAAATTCTGGTTATCAGAGAGCCAGCCAGCCATTCTCGATGATATTTCTTAG